CGGATTAATAAATTTGAGAATATTTTTTCACATAACATAATATAATATCTTTTATGAAACACTTGGTAAGTATTTATTATAAAAACATTTATGTCCTATATAAATTGAAAACAAAAATTATAATAAAATATTGGTTTCAAATTATGTAAGTTTTATTTGTGCAATAAAAGGTTCTCATTAATTTCAAATTAATTTTTTAAGGAAATAAATCTAAATGTACTTATTGAAAATATTTTGTAAAAAATATTGTTATGATTAATTTAAATTTAAAATCGAAATTCTTTAACAACTCTGCCATGTCATATTTTATTTGGAAGACTGAATGTGGAGATGACACATAAACATTTTTCACAAATCACTTTCCTAATAATGTATAAAGGATAAGCAAATTACTAGATTTTTAGACCAGCGTCAAACGGGATTAAAATATTTAAAAATAAAAAAAATCATTATTTTTTATAATATACATGAAAAATGAAAAACAACAAAGATCAAATGGTAGATCTCATATAGATAAATATAATATACATGAGAAATTAAAAACAACAAAGATCAAATGGTATAAATAATATATTTTATTTAACATAATTTAATCTGCATGACAATTAGTTTGAATCTAAAAGTTTTAAATGTAAATCGAATACGTTTGAGCTTATTGGTTCTTTCAAACTTATTAAAGTTCACCAATAAAAAAAATTTTATCGCGTTAGTATGTAAATCTTCTTAAATAAAAAAATCAAAGGAATAATAAAAAGTGAAAATGATGATTTTCAAAATTCAAACATTGATGTTTGATTTGTAAAGTTGTACTTTAATAAGAAAAGTGCAATTTTAATTAGAATAATATAGATACAATTAAACAATATAAAAATAATAATTGTATATAATAATTGTATGTTCAATCATATATATGGTATCTTAATGGACATAATACAATTTTGAGAAATTTTAAAAAATGTCACTTTACAAAAATGCCACACTTTTGAAATCTTTACGAAAATGCCACTTTTTCAAAATTATTTTTTCTTTATATTATTTATGTTTGGGTTAATTATGTTCTATTATGGTTTAGTTATGAGGGTTTAAGGGGTTTAGGGGTCAAAACATTTTTTAGTGTTTAGAATTTTAAGATATAGGGTTTAAAAATCTATAATTAATGGCATTTTTGCAAATGAACACTCCTAGGTGACATTTTTGTAAATGTGCATATAAAAAGTGGCATTTTTGCAATTTCTCCTACAATTTTTGTAAAGTGATTGATATCGGTAAATGATTCATTGCTAAAACATTATGTTATATAACGTTTAAAATCTTAGAATATTATATTTTAGTTGGATTTAAATTAGCAACATATGTATTTATTAGTTCATGTTAAAAAATTAATGTAAATATGTAGAAATTTTCAACATGGCATATATAATTAATTGTAATGTTTTAATTGGTTAATTTAATTGATGTGTTCCTTAAAATCCACATTGAATGATAAATAAGATTTTTTCACTTAGAATCTTCTCAATTAATATATAGAGGGATGTGTGATAAATGTAAAATTAATTGAATATTAAATTAGTAACTATTTTTTGTTTACGTCTTAAAATTCATGCATGTTATAATTAGGCACAGCTTTTTTTTCCCCTATTTATTGTAATGTAAAGTTATATAACCATCAAATAAAAACATCTATAGAGAGTGTTTCCAACCTACTGGTTGTGATTGATTGGAGATAAAATTTGAAAGATAATTGCTATTACTCGAAGGGAGATAAGCCTATCTCAAATACCTTTATTGATGGTGCTAATAGCCAATTCTGAGAGTTTGATGGATGTCCATGCCGATGATGATTGTGTTCACACCATAGTTGATATACCATGTTTTGTAAAAACAATTTACCAAATAAATAAGGCCTACTAAGTAGTTAGTGGTCTATTGATTCTTAAAAATCTAGTCAATAGTTCAAATATAATAGGAAAGAATGATGTTTGAATGATTTTTGTCGAGCCTTAATTTCCAAAAAATATTACGGACTAGTTCAACCGATCCGAACTCCAATTGATAGACGATAAATATTGGACCAGAGAGTCCCAACCGCAAGAGAAAGCCACTATAAGGAGCCCTTTTGCTAACTTAAACTACACTAGATGATATGCACGAATGTTTTTGAACAAAAATCGCAAAGAATACATGCCGATGAAATCATCTTAATTGTGATTACTGATTCCAAAATCCACACAAGACTTGTGTATACTTTATACTTGTTTGGTAACATTTCAACATCTAACTTTTTAAACCACATTTTCAACTACAGTTGACATCAGCAAAATTTAAAATGTGTTCAGTAATGTATATACATTGACAGGTAATAAATTCTTTCAATTTAGTCTATGATAGTGAGATGATACTTTACTATCCAAACACTTGAAGACCTCTAAATATGGTAATAGCTTAGGTGAATAGGATGTGGTAACACTTAATACTCCACGCTTGTGTAGGTTCTATTTGTTAAGATGGTCCATATATTACCCAACTTTGAATTTTTATTTTTCAGAAAAATAAATAATCAACAACAAATCTTATCTAAATGTTATATATTAAATTCCAGTTATTTATGACTGAGTCTCAAATGGGAAATCTTGTGGAAAACATTGTTATGAAAGTATTAGATCTCTTCACAAATTAGATGGCGAAAGGCAAAAGGCAAAAACAAATTCAAACTAAAAATATTGGTCTATATATTACTTTGAATATATAATTCTCTCAAAATAAATGAAAACATAATTGAATGGATGAAAAAATTGGAAGACATAGGAATTTTTCTTTTTCTTTTTTGCTAATAAAAAATTTATTAGAAAACAAATATCACACGGGACACAATTTAACTCGATCGATTATAGCACAACTCAAATTTTCTCTATATGAACCTAAACTAAAACTAAAATCACCCACGACAATTGGTGTATACACAAGAAACACAACAGCATCAACACACGTACTAGCTAGCTAGATAAACAAATTAAGAAAACAGAAAGAGAAAACATGAACAGAAGAGAAGATTCTGTGTCTTTGTCACAATAGTCATAAACTCTTGTCTTAAGCTTTCTTTTCCAATCTTCATATGGTCTCGTGTATGCCCACTTCCCAC